ACCCTAAACCCTAGAGCCCAGACCCTAAACCCTAGACCCTAAACCCTAAACCCTAGACCCTAAACCCTAGACCCTAAACCCTAGACCCTAAACCCTAGACCCTAAACCCTAGAGCCTAGACCCTAAACCCTAGACCCTAAACCCTAAACCCTAAACCCTAAACCCTAAACCCTAAACCCTAAACCCTAAACCCTAAACCCTAAGAAACCCTTCGCTCTTTGCCCATCGGCTCGCCAGTTCCAGCTGCATCCAAGCCGTGGAGCTGCAGGGGGGCGTTTGGGTTCTAGGATCTTAGGGTTTAGGGTTTAGGGTTTAGGGTTTAGGGTTTAGGGTTTAGGGTTTAGGGTTTAGGGTTTAGGATCTCATCAGGGTTTAGGGTTTAGGGTTTAGGGTTTAGGGTTCTAGGATCTGCAAGGGGGTTCCTGTAAAGGTTTTCGAGCTGTCCGTTGCCCATGTTTCAAGGTTTCAGCATGTTCAAGCCTTGAGGTCTTTGAGCTTCAGGTGGGCTTTCATGGAAATCTTACAGGTTTTTCCAGAACCCCTTGTAGGAGTTGGGCCATAGACGGGCCTTCCTGCGCCATGCCGGGCAGAATCCGTCCGAAGTCGGCTGGGGCTCGAAGATCGGCCTCCACGTCGCGGATCCTCTGCCTTTTTTGTTGGAGGGGTTTAGGGTTCAAGGATTTAGGGTTTAGAGTTTAGGGATTTAGGGTTTAGGGGTTTTGGGGTTTAGGGTTTAGGGTTTAGGGTTTAGGGCTTCATTTTGAGGGTTTCTCGAAGGGTTCCCGTATGGTTTCTACGGAGGTTTTCGGGCTTGGGTCTGGCAGGTAGCGGGTCTTGTAGGGTTGAGGGACTATTGGGGTTTAAGGTTCAGGGTTCAGGGTTACCCTAAACCCTAAAAACCCTAAACCCTAAGCCCTAAACCCTAAACCCTAAACCCTAAACCCTAAACCCTAAACCCTAAACCCTACGCTTAAGAGGTCTATAGTTAGTAGCAGCATACGGGTTCCTACATTGCTTATGGTATGGAGCCGAATTATAAAGAAGGCTTCTAGTGAGCATAATGCGATAATTACGAAAAGAAACCGTGAGGAAGAGTGCTATTCTACATTGTTAATTAATGGAGGGACTTTCATAATTAGAAATCGGTTTTGGGAGTTCATGACTATCATTAATTATAACATACCCCCAAGCCCTATTCCAATTATTAAGGCCCTAAACCCTAAACTCTTACAGTAGCCCTTATAGTATCTCTGTTGAGGATCCCTGTAAAGGAGTCCTATTCTATTTATAATGGCCCCTATATTAGTCCTTGCCTATGGGAGCATGGGATTTAGTGACGAGGGATGTAAATCAACAGGGTATAGGGTTTAGGGTTCAGGGTTTAGAGTTTAGGGCTTAGGGTTTGTTGATGATGTAAATCCTGCATTACCCATGATAAGGAATATACCATAATTCCCATAGATTAGGGCCCTCAAGGTCATGAAGGATTTATATCATCGACAGTATGATGCGCTTGGTTAATCCCGCCCGGTTAAGGTACTTTAACCTTACTGACCAAGTCTCGCCTAAATCGGTCTCCTGATCCTTTACGTAGGAAATCCTAAGCCACCCCCCTCAAGCCTAAACCCGAAACCTCACCCCTAAACCTTAACCCCCCCAACCCTAAAGCCCAAATCCTGAACCACCGACCCCCCACCCTTAACCCCCTCAAACCCCAAACATAAAACGAAGACCCCAAACCCTAAACCCGTAAACTCCACAACCTTAAAACCCCAGATTTTTACCTGGGCCAAGTCCCAAACCCCCACCCCTTAACCTCTAGATCTTCCCGAAAGCATCTGCAGAAACCATGGTACATAAACAGACAAATGCGCAACCAAGCAAAAAAGGTTTAGGGTTTAGGGTCTCTCTTTCACTCTCTCGCCATCACGACGCGTTTCTTCCTCTTTACAGTAGAAGCTAGAAAGTTGGAACATCGTTGTGCTCATGCCCGCTAAGACCCTCAACCCTAAACCCTAAACCCTAAATGAAGAGGGAATCCCAGCCGGAATGACCCTGAATCCATGTTCCAACTTTGTGGGGTTCGCTATAAGCATCCAAAACCCTAAACCCTAAACCCTAAGGGAAGAGGGAATCCCAGCCGGAATGACCCTGAATCCATGTTCCAACTTTGTGGGGTTCGCTATAAGCATCCTAAACCCTAAACCCTAAACCGTTATTTCTACGTGTTCCTTCAGTCTTGATTCAGGATCTAGCAGGGAAACCAAAGCTGTTAAACCCTAAACCCATAAACCTGTAAACCCAAAGCCCCTAAACCCTTAAACGCTAAACCCCAAACCGTCAAACCCTAAACCCCCACACCCTTAAGCCCTCAAACCCTTAAGCCCCTACTCCCTTCCCCTAAACCCCTACACCCTGAAACCCCCAAACCCCTCACACCCTAAACCCAAAACTCCTAAACCCTGAAACCCTTAAACCCTAAACCCCTAAACCCCTAAACCCTTAAACCCCTAAACCCCTAAACCCCTATACCCAAAACCCCTAAGCCCTTAAACTCCTAAACCCTTCAACCCCTTAACCCTAAACCCTAAACCCCCAAACCCCCCTAAACCCTAAACCCCTAAACCCTTAAACCCCTACACCCTTAAACCCCTAAACCCTTAAACCGAAACCCCTACACCCTAAACCCCTAAACCCCTAAACCCTAAACCTACATTATTTTGGGGGTTCCTCAGTATAATTATAGTATAAAGGACACCAGAGCCCTATTCTAATTGTTCAGGCCCTGAGCCCTAAACCCTAAACCCTCAACCCCTCAAACCCCTCAAACCCCTCAAACCCCTCAACCCTAAACCCTAAACCCTAAACCCTAAACCCTAAACCAGGATCTACCATGGACAGACGAATCCGCACCCGGATGCGGGTTCGCCCATGTCCGGCCCAGGCGACTTCAGGAGCCCTCCTGGTTCGGGCGTTTAGGGTTTAGGGTTTAGGGGTTTGGGGGTTTAGGCTTTAGAGGCTTGGAGCTTAGGGCTTATAAGGATTTAGGGGTTCGGGCGTTTAGGGTTTAGGGGTTTGGGGGTTTAGGCTTTAGAGGCT